TGGTGTAGCAGGACAACGCTGTAACCACCTGAGCTACCAAGCCAGCGCATGGATATGCCACATATTTTGTTTATCCATTCATCAGTTTATGGGCGCTTGAGTTATTTCTACTTTTTGGCTATTATGAATAATACTGCTGTGAACATTTGTGAACAAGTTTTTGTGTTAACATATGTTTCTAGTTCTTCTGAGTACAAACCTAATATCTATTACCTATCCTACATTTAATATTTCTATTTTTTTTAAATTTACTTATCTTTAGACGGGTAAGGAAGGAGAGAGGGAGAGAAACATCAATGTATGGTTGCCCTTCGCGCATCCCCTGCTGGGAACTGGCCTGCAACCCAGGCATGTGCCCTGACTGGGAATCGAACCGCGATTGTCTGGTTCGCAGGCCCGAGCTCAATCCACTGAGCTACACCAGCCAGGGCTAGATTTAATATTTCTAAAAACAAATCTTGTGTTTCCCTGACAAACCTGTTCTGGGAAGCAGGAGCACTTTTTTCCTATTTACTTAATGGAAAAATGTTTTCATATACTTATTTGCTATCTGTATATCCTCATTGATGAGGTGGTTGTTCAGATCTTTTTCCATTTTTTCCATAATTCCAAAGATCTTTAAAAGTCCATAATAATATTTACCACCTTAACTATTTTTAAGTGTCCAAGAGTAATGTTGTATGTACATTGTTCTGCAGCAGATACCTAGAACTTTCTAATCTTGCAAAACTGAGACTCCATTTCCCCATTCAGCACAGTTCCTGGTAACTACATTCTACTTTCTGTTTCTCTGAGTTAACTACCTTGGGTACCTCATATAACTGGAGTGGTGTTTGTGTCTTTGTGACTGGCTTATTTCACTTAGCATAATTTCCTCAAAGTTCATCTTTGTCACAGTATACGACAGGATTTTCTTTTTTTAAAAAAGTATTCTGTTGTACGTAGATACCTCATTTCCTTTATCCACTCATGCGATTCATGCATCAATAGACATTTAGGTTGCTTCCATCTCTTGGCTGTTGTGGATAATGCTACAATTAATATGGCCTTCAAGAACCTGGTTTTGATTCTTTTGGATACATACCAAGAAATGAGTATTTTGCCCATATTTAAACTTTTTTTAAAGATTTTATTTATTTATTTTTGGAGAGGGAAGGGGAGGAGAAAGAGAGGAAGAGAAACATCAATGTGTGGTTGCCTCTTGCGCACCCCTCATTAGGAACCTGGCCCACAAGCCAAGCATGTGCCTTGACTGGGAATCAAACCAGCAACCTTTTGGTTCACAAGCCTGTGCTCAATCCATTGAGCTACACCAGCCAGGCTAAACTTTTTTTTTCTTATTGTTGAGTTTTAAAGAGTTCTGTGTATATTTTGGATGCCAGTCATTTATCATATATGTGTTTTTCACATTTTTTTCTCTTACTCTCTGTGGCCTTTTTCATTCTCTTATTAGTGTCTTTCAAGGAACAGTTTTTAATTAATGACTTTTTTTTCATGGATCGAGCTTTTAATGTAATTTTTTTAGATTACCTAGATTTTCTCTTAAGATGTCTTCTAGAAATTTTATACTTTTGCAAGTTTTGCATTTAGGTGTAAGATTCATTTTGACTTAATCTTTGTGAAAAGTTTCCAAACCAGAAAGCACCAGGCCCAGCTGAGTTCACTGGTGAATTCTACCAAACATTTAAGGGAGAAATATTCTCTAATCTTTTTCAAACAATAAAAGCAGGGACAATACTTCCTAACTCTTTCTATGAGGCTAGCATTACCCAAAACCAGACAGATGTTACAAGAAAGGAAAATTAAAGACCAAGATCTCTCATAAACATAAATATAAAAATGCTCAACAAATATTAGCAAATCAAATCTAAAAAATATAAAAGAATTATACAGCATAACCAAGTGGGGTTTATTTCATGTATGCAAGGCTGGTTCAGCATTTGAAAATCAGTTAATGTAATTCATCATATAAACAAACTAAAGAAGAAAATCCAGTGATAATATTAAGAGATTTAGAAAAGCATTTGACAAAATCCAACACCCATTCATGATTAAAAATCCTCAATAAACTAGCAATGGAGGGGAACTTTCTCCATGGAATAAAAACTATCTACAAAAAATGTATGTGTAACATCATACTTAGTGGTGACAAACATGAAGTTTTCCCACTAAGATCAGGTACAAGGCAAGGGTGTCCCCTCTTGCCACTCCTTTTCAACACTGTACTGGAAGTCCTTGCTAATAAGGCAAGGAAAGGAAGTAAAAGATGTGCAGATTGAGAAGGAAGACACAGAGCTCTTTGTTCACAGGTGACATGATTATCTATATAAAAAATCCAGAGGAATTGACCAAAAACTCCTGGAACTAATAACAATTATAACAACTTTGTAAGATACAAGGTTAGTATACAAAAATCAATTGCTTTTCTATATATCAACCATACACAAGTGGAATTCAAAATTAAAAACATCCCCTGGCTGGTGTGGCTCAGTGGGTTGAGTGCAGTCGGAAAGGTTGTAGGTTCAATTCCTGGTCAGGGCACAAGCCTGGGTTATGAGCCAGGTTCCTAGTTGGGGGCATGGGAGAGGCAGCTACTGGATGTTTCTCTTGCACATCAATGTTTCTCTCCCTCTCTTTCTCCCTTTATTCCTCTCTCTCAAATAAATAAATAAGATCTTGGGGGCAGCATAGTGCCATTTACATCAGCACCCCCCCAAAATGAAATACTTAGGTGTAAATCTAACAAAAAATGTTCAAAATATGTATGAGGGAAACTATAAAACTCTGAGCAAAGTCAAACAAGAACTAAATAAATGGAGAGTCCATTTCCATATTCATGGATAGGAAGCCATAATATTGTCAAGATGTCAGTCAGTTCTTCCCAAATCGATCTATAGATTTAATATAATTTTGATAAAAATTCTAGCAAGTTATTTTATGGATATTGACAAAATGATTCTGAAGTTTTTATGGAGAGGCAAAAGACCAGAATAGCCAACACAACACTGAAGGAGAAAAACAAAATTGAACTGATACTGCTCAACTTTAGGGCTTGCTATAAAAAAATACACCAATCAAGACACGTGTGGTTTCGGTGAGAGAATAGACAGATCAGTGAAAGAGAATGGAGAGCCCAGAATTAGAACCCTATAAATATAGTCATCTGATCTTTGACAAAGGAGCAAAAAAAAAAAAATACAATGGAGCAAAGATAGTGTCTTCAACAAATGGTGCTGGAACAACTAGACATCTGCATGCAAAAAAAAAAAAAGAATTTAGACAGACCTCACACCCTTTGTAAAACTTAATCAAAATGCAAAACTAAATCTTCCAGAAGATAATGTGGGAGAAAACCTGTATGACCTTGGGTGTGTTGATGGCTTTTTTAGATACCAAAGCAAAGATATTCATGAAAGAAATAAGTGATAAACTAGATTCTATTAAAATTAAAATTTTATGTCCTGGCTGGGTAGCTCAGTTATTTAGAGTGTTCTCTCAGTATGCCATGGTCATAGGTTTGATCCCTGATTGGGGCACATACAAGAATCAGCCAATGAATGCATAAATAGGTGGAGTAGCAAATTAATATTTTTCTCTCTTCCCTCCTCCTTCCCTCTCTCTCCTTTTTCCCTAAAAAAATAAAATTAAAAATGTCTGCTCCACAAAATGCAATGATAAAAGAATTAGAAAATGAGCCATAGACTAGGAGAAATATTTGCAAAAGACACATCTAATAAAAAGGACTATTCAAAATATCAAAGAACTCTTAAAGTTCAACAATAAAAAAAAGAAACACCTCAATTAAAAAATGGGCCAAGGACCTTAACAGACACCTCATCAAAGAAGATAGAGGGATGTCAAATAATGTGAAAATGTTCTCCACATCTGTGTTGTCAGGAAAATGCAAATTAAAATAACAGTGAGATACCACTACAGTCTTAAAATGGCCAGTGTCTGGAACACTGACAAATGCTGGTGAGGATGTGAAGCAACAAGAACTCTTATGCACTGGTGGTGGGAATGCAAAAAGGCTACAACTACTTTGGAAGACAGTTAACTGGTTTCCTACAAACATACTCTTATGATACAATCCAGCTATTCCACTCCTTGGTGTTTACCCAGAGAAGTTGAAAACATGTTTATACAAAAATCTGCACAAAGATGTTTATAGCAGCTTTATGCATAGTTGCCAAAACTTGGAAGCAACCAAGATGCGTTCAGTAGGTGAATGGAGAAATAAACGGCTGATACATCCAGACAATGAAATAATATTCAGAGCAAAAAGAAATGAACTATGAAGCTATGAAAAAAAACATGGAGGAAACTTAAATGCACATTACTAAGTGAATGAAGCCTATCTGGCAAAGCTTTATACTGTATGATTATGACAGTGTTACATCTTGGAAACAGCAAGACAATGGAGACAATAAAAAGGTCAATGGTTGCTGGGCAAAGGGGAAGCTGGATGGGCAGAGTAGAGAGCGTTTCGGAGGCAGTGAAAATATTCTGTACGATACTGCAATGATAGGCACATTTGTCCAAACCTGTAGAACATACAACAAGAGTAAACCCTGAAGTAAACTATGGACTTTGGGTGATTGTGCTGTCAGTGTAGGTTCATCCTTGGCAAAAAAAAAAGTACCAATCTGGTGAGTGATGTTGATTAGGTGGTGGCTATGCATGTGTGGGGGCTTATCATTTCCTAATCCAAATTGAATGTCTCACTGATATGCATAGCCTCTTGGAAGCATAAAGATGCCAGTGGAAAATTGGGGCCTTGGACCACCAGCACGGTGTTCTGACTGTGACGCCAAGGGTCATTTTATGGTAAAATAGAATGGTATCTACTTAAAAGACTATAATCTTATTTTGAAATGTAGTTTTCCAAACACTGCTGATGGCTTTTATAATTTTCTGCATATCCATCAGCATAAATTGCTGACATTTTCCTCTGACAGTACATTAAGTACTTTTAATCTTTGCTCTGTTTGTGGTCCTAGGTTGGTTCATTCTGGCTCTGGATGTCGATCACCCTCACTTGGATCTGACCTCACATTCGCTACCAGGACAGGCTCCCGGCAGGGCATTGAGATGCATCTCTTCAGGGTGGAGACACATCGGGATCTGTCGACCTGGACCAGGGTACTTGTTCAGGGTTGCCATGCTGCTGCTGAGCTGATCAAGGAAGTCTCTCTAGGTATAGACCCTGGCATTCATTTCTAATAGTAGTTAAATGGAACTGTTATACAGACAGTGAAAACTATTATCATGTGTGCCAGACTTAGAAGTGTTCTGAAATATGGCAGTTTAAAGTGATCATGATGGGAAGAAACCTGGTTTCTTTGTTTCAATAACAAAGTTTTTCAAAGCCTTGTGCATGGCTCTGAACACATTCATAAAATCCTGTGTACAAGATGGCAGTCTTACTGTTCATCATTTAAGGCTGTGTAATAATGTAAGGGCTCATTTACCAAGTACTAGATACATTGATCCTATAGTTAAGATTTGGAATCTAAGATACAGATAGATACCCTTAAAATAAATGCATATGGCAAACTTGTAGCTATAGAAAAGTAAAGAATTTGGAATAGGAGTTTCTCTTAAAGTTTGAAAATGTGTCCCCAATACCCACTGCACTAAGCTTCTGGAGTTCCGTTCCTCTCTTTCCATTCTTGAAGCGCCCTCTTGTGGCTGGTCTCTATAAATTGGGGTATGGTTTCATATACGTGTATTTGTGTGTGTTGTGTCCCACATATATATATATAAATATTTCCAGATTGCTTTTTTTATTTTAATAAGAATAGAGAATAGTTAAAAGTAACATCACATTTTCTAATACAGTTTGAATTACTTTAAATATCTTGGCTATAAGTTGGTTTACTTTGCTCCTTTTATCTATGATTTTATTTTATAAATCTAGTTTTACAGAATCTATATAAAAAAAAGAAAACGTTTCAAGAGCAGAATGCCTTGTGATTTATCTTTCTTTCTGTTGCCTTTTGAATGTGAGGGAGCTCCAAGGCTTTGGCACCACACGGGCAGCATCGCCACGGGCCGTCGTCTAACGTCAGCACAGGGAGAGTTTTTTAATGTTGTCACACATTGCAGGCTTCATCCGTCTAGGACCTGCTTGATATTTTGGTCACGGTCACTGTGATGATTCAAACAGTGACACCAATGACTAGTAAGAACCCACTGTGGAGTTTGACCAAAGCCACCACATCCACACTTTGTCCCCTGTCTTCTGCCTGTTTTCTCTATGGAATGGTTGGTCACCGCATGAAGGGCTGTGGGGCTCTGGTTTCCATCTTGACCACACAATGTGCTTTCTGGGAGGGGCCAGTCCTCAATTTGAAGGTCTGTGATGGCAGCTAAACTTCACATTGCAGGAAATTAGAATCTATCTAGTCCCTGGCTCACAACTGTTTAGATATAGATGGCTTGAGGAGAGGGAGAATAAGGACCAGCTCATTCTTTATATTGAATATTTTTATTTTATTTATTTTTTAAAGATTGTATCTATTTATTTTTTAAGAGAAGGGAAGGGTGGGGAGAGAGTGAAACATTGATGTGGGAGAGAAACATCAGTTGGTTGCCTCTCACATGCCCCCTACCATGGACTTGAACTGCAACCCAGGCATGTGCTCTGACCAGGAATCGAACTGGTGACCGTTTGGTTTGCAGGACAACATCCAACCCACTGAGCCACACCAGTCAGGGTGGTTCCTTATATTTTTGAATAGGCAAAAAAAAGTATTTTTAGGTAATTTTGAACTTTTTTGCTCTCATTCACAGCTGTATTTTAATATTACCTTGGTAATACTTTCATTTTCACAATTTAGGTCAACCGATGTACTGTACCTATTAATCACTTACTTCATATTGAAGGCTGTGCCAGATATATTAAACTGGCTGAAGGTAGACTGCTTTGATGAAAGTCAGAGTTTCTGTAAAACGTGTGTGTTTATATGTATATGCACATATTCATGTGTGTTCATGCTTAGTCTGTTGTGTTTTGTTATGTGTATGCTTAGTGTGCATGGCCACATTTGCATATGTGCACACATACATACATAAGACAAGTGTGTCCTTCAGATACATGTTACCACCTTCTGTTACGGTGTTGGGAGATTCAGAAAAGATCATTTAAGACTATAGCCCCGGCTGGGAAGATCAGTGGGTTGCAGCATCGTCCCATACACCAAAAGGTTGTGGGTTTGATCCTGGTCTGTGTATATGCAGGAGGCAACCAACTGATGTTTCTCTCTTCCTCTCTCTTTCTCCCCCCTCTTCGTCTCTTTAAAAATCAATATATCCTCAGGTAAGGATTTTAAAATACTAAGATTGTCGCACATATTCAGATACTTGTGGCCTAAAAAAGTTAGGTAGTTGACAAAAAATAAATCATTTAAGGTCTGTTTTTATTTCTCTTATGTATTTTGATTGTAGTTCATCCATTTTGAAAAATTTCAGTGTCTACCTACAAAATTTGACTAGTGAATATAACACATGATCTTCATAATGTTTGTTTAGTTTTAAACATTCATTAGATTATAGTTATAGTAGAATTGATGAGTGACCCTTCTAGTATGTGAGGTCTTTTTCTTTTTAGCGAATGTGAACTTCAAGATGACTAAGCAGAGAATGCGCTTAACTCCCTCAAGCCCATAAAACCATTTTCCATTTGCCACAGGAATTGAAAATACGAAAATACATATGCATGCATAGTAGTTATAACTTAGTAAGTATGCTTTTAAAGGCTTAATTTCATCATACCAATTACCCAAGCTATTCAGGTTTTTAAATCATCCAAGAACTTTATGAAGATACTTTATATTTCGGTATCTTTGGTGATACGAAGACTAAGAAGTCATAGATGTAGGTGGGAGTTGCATTAATAAATATATAAATGGGGGAAAGCTTTTCAGGAGCAACTATAAAGGACACAGGAATGAAACCAAGGCGGGGATGAGATCAGGGGAGGGAAGTGGGTGAGGATGGCTGGGGGAGTGGTGGGGAGAAAATGGAGACAACTGTACTTGAACAACAATAAAAAATAAAAATAAAAATATGTAGAAAATCTGCAAGAGGAGAAGGACCATGGATATTTAACAGTGTTTCTACTGTGGGCCTCTGTGAGGAGAAAAGGAGTTCGTTCTAACCATGTTGTTCTCAGTTTTATAGAAATTCTCTTGAGTCCCTTTTTCTTCATCTACTCAGCAAATATTGACTGAGTGTATTCACTGTGCTTTTACTGGTTTTACTAAAATAAATAAGGTAGGCACAGCCCCTGCCTTTGAAGTAAGAAGGACAGAAACAGAAATAGCAATATGGACATATCAGGGTTGTTATAAGTCATACCTGAGAAACATGTTATTTAACTGTAACACACAACCCTCTAAGGCACATTTTATTTCCTCCATGTTCAAGATGAAGGTACTGTGGCTCAGACTTGAATTGTGGACTCCCGACTTCAAAACCAGTGACTGAAGCCCCTGCGTTCACCCCTCTCAATGGCTCCTCCTTATGGCCAAATTAAACTCCTGGAGGACATAGACATTATCAGTTTCTCTTAATTCACTAAATCAACAGTACTGAGTATTTTAGTATTTACAAAGCTCTGCTTGGTAATGAGACAAATAAAAATAAATAAAACCTTACCTCATGCCTTTGATCGTGTAGCTCTAAGAAAGGAACATAGTGTCATGTTCTTTGTAACCCCAGGTATGACTATCCTGTTGGTTATACGTGATGGACTGGCTTTTCCCCATGTGGAGTAAGGAGAGTGGCAGCCCGGTCTCTCTGTGAGACAGCCCTGAGCAGTCAGACCAGGTTGAACCTGGGAAGCCTGCTCCCTTCTGGGTTGTTCTGATGCCCAGAGGACCCCCCCGGTCCTGCAGCTGCTAAAGGATTTTGCTGGAAACATTGCAGTCCCCCAGAGCCCTTTTCCCAAGTAACTGGGAAAGTAACTGAGCCCAAATTACTGAGTAACTTTTCCCAAGTAACTGAGCCCTTTTCCCAAGTAACAGCAGCAACAGGATTTTCAAGATAGCATTAAAATTTTTTTCTTAATTGATTTTAGAAAGAAAGCAGGAGGCATCAATTTGTTGTCCTACTTATTTATACATTCAAAATGGTTGCTTCTTGTATGTACCCTGACCGGGCATCAGGCCCACAATCTTGGCATATCCGGACAACTTTCTAACCAGCTGAGCTAGCTGGCCAGGGCAGGATAGGATTTCTTTGACATCAGGGTCTTTGTCCTTCATGGTACACTGGTAACCACCAGCACTCTCTCATTTAGAAAGACACAAAGTAGAGAACGTAAGTCGTATTTACCAGTATTCATCTTGATGGAACACGAATAGATATATTACTACCTAACAAGCTTTTTTTCCCCTCTTCACTTTAAAATCTTTTTTTTTACCACTAATGGAGCTGCTTAGAAAGTTATCTTTAATGTATGTCATTACACTCAACAATATCCTTGTGGTTTGAAAAAGCCAGTGTCCCTTGCACTTAGCAGGTTGTGAAGCTGTAGCCAGAGCAGAAGGAAAAGTAGGGCGGGTGGGGACACTAAGTGTCACGGAAGCCAAAGAAAGAGTATTTCAAGGAGAGGAATGGCCAGTAGGGTTAAATGTACCAGTGGCGATGGCTTAGGGTGCAATGAACAGAAAATGCCCTCACAAACTAGGTGAAACATTAAAGAAATATATTGCCTTACATAAAAGAGAGAGAACCAGTGTAAAAGGGGGGTGGTGTTGTGTTTTCTCTTCCCCATCATAGTTCTTTTCAACCTGAGCCAGTTTGGTTCATATGCACACCCTGGACCAATGCCAGTCACCAGGGGAAAGCCAGCCTGGCTGCCCTTGAAGGTGAGGTCGCTTTTCCCTGAAACACATTAGGAGAAAGTAGAAACCTGAATAAAATCTGGGCTTGGCAGTAAAGGAAGAATGGAGAAATAGAAGCTGGGTAGAGAGCCAACAATGAGTACTACAAGTATCAAGTAAGATGAGGGTTGAAGAAGCAGGTTGGATACAGCAACATGGTGATACTTGGTACCCTTGGGGAGGGACACTTTGTGGTGTGATGGCGGATTGTAGAGGGCTGAGGTTTGAAGGGGAGGTGAAACGTGGGTAAACTGTGTGTAGACACGTCTTTCAAGAAGTTTTGCTCTGCGTGTCCTGGCCTATGCTTTCTCTGCTCCCCTGTGCTCAGTTGTAACAGGGGAGTCTGGAAAGACATAAAGCAGTCTCGCTCTCAGTTTAGGAGGGCCGTCCTGAGTATAGGGCTGTCTCTTAAAGGCACAAGAGGACAATAAGATAAAGAAAGAAAAAGAAGTTTTGCTCTGAGGATGAGGAGAGAGGAGACTGGTAGAAAGAAGGTGAGGAGTACAGGTATTTCTTTTAATCACAAGAGACTAGAACATTTGTAAAAGTTAATAGAGGGATCTGGTTTAAAGGGAGATATTGCAGATGGCAAGAGGAATAAGGAATAACCAGTCTTATACAGTTTCTGAGAAGATGGGAGTGGACAGGATCCAAAGCACAGGTGGAGGGGTTGGCCCTAGCCTGGAAAAGGGACAGATGGGAGAAGGGAGAGGATGGGTAGAGCTGCGTGTCCGCACCTTAGCTGTTGAAGTGGGCATTGCTGAGTCGTTTGTGCTGCAGGCATCCCTGGCTTTTACTCCATCACTAACTTCAAATGCAATTGCAGGCTACTTTTATGTTGTTCGAATTCTTTAAGTTATACCTTACTTGTATGATTAGAAGAACTTTTCTCTTTCTTTCTTTCTTTCTTTCTTTTTTTTTTTGCTTAAGAGAAGTCAGTCTCCTACAACAAAAACATCACTGTAAAGGATTTTACAATTTAATATTGCTGAACTATAGAATATGTGAGTTATATATATCAATACAGCTATTACTAAAAGAATAAATGAGTTTAATCATTGAAACCTTAGAAGTAAAGTCAGAATTTTCCGGTGCAGTTATTCATGATGCAGGGAGTCTCATCAGAGATCTTTGTTTGAAATGATTGTGCTTAGATGAGTATATATGGTGAACTCAAGATTCCTGGTGTTATGTGGTCTGTCTGCACCTAGGCCTGCTCCCCTCGCCTCTGTCACCCTATCCCTGATTGCCACCTGTCCTCAACCCCTGCCCCGTATTGTGGGTGGGTATTGAAGCGGGTGTCAGGGATGAGATGAATGTTAAGCAAGAGATAAGAATGTCGGTTTTGCATATTAGTTGGTAATAAAATTTATCCCAAACCCTGAAAGCTTATTATTTTAATTTTTAGGTGAATTAAAAGGTTATGGTTAACTAATTTTGATGTGCACATTCAACAAAGTGGCCATTGTTGTTATAGTTTTTATTATTATTTAAGACTCAACTAAAATAGCAGCTCTAGTAAGGCTTTTCCAATTCCCCAGAGTTAATCTCCTCCCCTCTCGTCTATCCTCTCACAGTGTTTTATCCATCTTTCTGTTACAGTACTTACTTCATCCTACTGTATCCACATTTCCTTTTCTTCCTCCCTCTTGTCTGAACAGAAACCCTCTTTTACTCAGTTCTGTATCTCCCAGCACCCAACACAATGTCTCTCACTAGTAAGCGCTCGAAATGGTCCAGTACAGATTGCTTGTGATTGTTGGTTTGTCTTCCCTGCTGTACTGTGAGAGCAGAGAATCTAAAAATGTGTGAATAAATGAAAGAATGATTAAACAAGCCAATGAAGGAAGACAATTCACCATTCCACCAGATAGTTACTCTTCATGCATATTTTCTAATTATTCTGGGTTCAGGCTCATGAAGTTTCCTCTCTTATCTTCGGCCCTGCCCGCTCGCTGCCAACCCACGTCGTACCCTACAAAAGGAACACAAAGCCCCCAGTGCCAAGTGCTGAATGTTTGTCTCCCTTCACTGATTAATTTTTAAAACTGTAGTTTTCTTCTCTTTTAAGCTTCAGTGTCTGACATGCTGTGAAAGTCCCTAATTGTTTCTGTTGTGTGTCTTTTTATATTTCTGTTAACAACTTTGTAAAGCAAAATCAGTATATTAAATTTTTCGCTGACTTACCTATAAATCTAGGTGAATAATGAATCTATAGCCATCTGAAAGAATTTTAGTTGAATGAAGACATCAGGATGGTTATACTAAGTCACCTGGACCAGCTCAGAGTTTTGCTAGTAATGACTCCCAGATCCTGCCCTATCGGAATAGGGCTGTTTGTCACACGTGTCTGCCCCGCACTGCACACATACATGTGCATGTGTGCACACGCTCCCTCCACCTCCTCTCATTAAATCAGAGTTAGAGGCTTATATATGTTTGGTTCATTACTCCTGAGACCTTCTAAGGGTGAGGTGTATCAGGTACTTAATGAACATCGCCTCAGCTGTTTTATGACCAATTCATACTCATTCAAAATTGTTTGGCATTTATACTTTTTAAACTAAAACTCAATTCTAAACCTAAACGTATTCAGTATGACCTTTACTTACTCCTTTTCAATGTAGAGTTAATAATCATAAACAATAATCAAGGTTTATTCAGAAAAAGCCCAACCATTAATATAATGAGAACAGTTTGTGTAACATTGCTATAAGCTGGCAGCCAAAGAGAATGAACTAGAATGCGCATGTGTGAACAATGACAACTTCACTGTTCATTCAGTTAGTAGGGGCGGTAGATGCCCCCCCCACCCCAAGTGAGCATGTGTATTGTGTGACCACCGCATTCAAAATGACTGAGGAAGTAAAGCAATGAATTTGCATCAGATTTTGCATTAAGCTTGCATATTCCTCTGTGGAAGTGATTCGAATGATTCAGGAGGCCGCAGCTATGGGCAACTGGTGATTGGCAGCTCCATCACAACAATGCACCTGCTGATGCATTACATCTCATGCAGTTTTCTGGTGAAACATCAAATCACCCAGATTACTCAGCCCCCTACAGCCCAGATTTGGCTGCAACTTCTGGTTTTTCCCAAAAACTAGTTACCTTTGAAAGGGAAGAGATTTCACACCATTGATGAGATTCAGGAAAATTTGATGGGGCAGTTGATGGTGTTTGGGAGAACTGTATGAGGTCCCAAGGTGCCTACTTTGAAGGGAACTGAGATGTCATTGTCCTGTGTACAATGGTTCTTGTACCTTGTATCTTCAACAAGTGTCTATACTCATATTGCATGTCTGGATACTTTCTGGACACCTTGTATATACATTTTTTAAGTAATATACAGACACTAACGTTTGCTTTCCTTTCTTTACCTCCTGAGGGGGAGCAGTCCTAAATATAACACTTTAAGAAGTCTCTTACATGCCAAGCTTGTTGGGGAGTTAATGGCTTGCCTTTGCTAGTCATGATTGCGGATCTCGCCCCACTGGTGATGCACCTGCAGGCAGGAATACTCGCCTACCTGTACGGCACCCTCTCCACCCAGTGCTGTGAGGACTTGGGCAGATCCTTGTTCTTTGAGCTTTTCTTTCCTAGACTAGAACTGACCCCTCTTTCTTCAGACTTCAACACCCTTCAGGGATATTGAGGTAAAATCCTCTTGAAAACTGTACCCTGGTTGCCTTGATTGGAATCTGTCTTTTCTCTCTCCAAACCCCTCAGCCATTCATTTAGAGATTACTGCATTGGCTTATTTCTACAACGAGTTAATTTTATCTGTGCTCCTCCCCAAGGTAACATCAGTTACATGAGGATAACTAATATTCAGTCCATTGTCCAAAACTCTCCTGAGCTGAGAGTGAACACTGCCAATATTTATGATGTTACTCATTTTCCTTATTTCCTCTACACACCAGCTGCCTTGACCAATTGAATGCTTTTGCACGCCCAGTGAAAGAATCAGGTTGAGTGTGAGCACTTGCTCCTTTGGGAGTCACTTTTTCTGTGTAAAGTGACTATGCGGGCTGTGTTAATTCCCATGTCTCAGAGGGCCTCTCACGTGTAGGCCCTGTATAACACAGCAGTGTTCCAATTGTTAGTGAAGACATTAGCCAGTCCGATGATCAAAGTTTTTTGTCCTCTCAATTCAAAAGTATCCTCTGAATTTAATCTCCGATAGGACCAACAGTACTTTTGTTAACTATAGCGTTTATCTTTGATAAACATTATTTTTATCTTTTTCCCAAATGCCAACCAAACTGTTACTGCTCCTGAAAGGCAGAAATGCCGTTCGTTCTCTGCCTTCTCCTCTGGTGGTTCCTTCTTCTCGCCCAGCCGAAACTTTCTCTGTGTTCCTCACTGCCTGTCAGGTTGGATCTGTTCGTTAGGGCCTGTCTGAAGTCCCATCTCCTCCAGGAAACCTTTCCTTGACTCTGGCCTCATTCGGTTTAGTGTTTGGTCATGTCCTGTATGTTCTAGTTTGCCTAGTTAGGGGTTTCATGTTTATGCCTATTCATGTATGAGGTCCTGGACGGCAGGGACTTCGTGTCTTACTTCTCCAGTATCACACACAGGCCACTGCCAGCACCAGTGTTCGGTTGATACTCACTGAACTGAATCAGATCAGATGTCAAGGAGAGTAATGGTAATTTCCTCCTTATCTCAATCAAGATGTTGACTTGAGTGACCAGAGCAAAACTTATTTTAGAAGGTTCCCAATAGGTTAGTTATCACACATTCTTACGAAAAGATTTGGTTTTCTCTTTTGAAGTCAGAAGAATCCTTTTCCACTTAATAATCAAAGTAGGAACTTGATTAATGTTTTTGCTTATCTTCACCAGGCTGCACGTTAAATGGCCAAGAGGCAAGACTCACTGTCCACTATGAAAATGGGTTCACCATCTCCAGGGAAAACGGAGCTCCCGGCAGCGTGCTGTACCGCTATCCCTTTGAACGCCTGAGGATGTCTGCTGACGACGGCATCCGGAACCTGTACCTGGACTTCGGCGGCCCCGAGGGGGAGCTGGTAAGAGGCGTGAGAAACGTGTTTATCCGCATAGGTGTCTCACTTATTGCTTCTTTCCCTCTCGTATGGAAATATTATGGACTGATAATCCACTTTTTTCTGGAAAACTGTTCTTCAGTTTCAAGATGCTGTGGGTTTGGGCTCTTTTTTTTTTTTCTTTCTTTCCCCCATATTAGGAAATCATTTCCTTTTTTTTTTTTTTATTGATTATGCCATTACACTTGCTCTATTCCCCCCCTCCATTCCCCTCCACCCCGAATACCCCTCCCCCACCATTTCCCCCCCTAGTTCATGAACACGTGTCTCAAATTCCTTAGATTCTGTATTTCCCCTACTATTCTTACCCTCCCCCCTATCCACCTTCTATCCACTGTCTATGCTACTTATTTTCTGTACCCTCTCCCCCCTTCTCCTCCTCCCACTCCCCTGTTGCTAACCCTCCATGAGATCTTCATTTCTATGGTTCTGCTCCTGATCCAGCTGTCCTCTTAGTTTGCTTTTGTTTTAGGTGTGGTTGTTACTAACTGTGAGTTTGCTGTCCTTTCACTGTTCATCTTTTTTATATTCTTTTTCTTAGATAAGTCCCTTTAACACTTCATATAATAAGGGCTTGGTGATGATGAACTCCTTGAATTTGGTCTTATCTGAGAAGCACTTTATCTGTCCTTCCATTCTAAATGAAAACTTTGCTGGGTAGAGCAATCTTGGTTGTAGGTCTTTGGTTTTCATGACTTGGAATACCTCTTTCCAGCCCCTTCTTGCCTGTAAGGTCTCTTTTGAGAAATCAGCTGACAGTCTGATGGGAACTCCTTTGTAGGTGACTGTCCCCTTAGCTCTTGCTGCTTCTAGGATTCTCTCCTTCATTTTAATCTTGGCTAATGTAATGATGATGTGCCTTGGTGTGTTCCTTCTTGGGTCCAACTTCTTTGGGACTCTCTGAGCTTCCTGGATTTCCTGGAAGTCTATTTCCTTTGCCAGCTTGGGGAAATTCTCCTTTATTATTTGTTCAAATAAGTTTTCCACTGGTGGCTGTGCCTTTCCCCCTTCTGGTACCCCTATAATTCGGATGTTGGAATGTTAAAGATGTCCTGGAGGTTCCTAAGCTTCTCCTCATTTTTCTGAATTCTTATTTCTTCATTCTTTTCTGTTTGATCATTTTTTTCCTCCTTGTGGTCCACTCCCTTGATTTGAGTCCCAATTTTCTTTCCATTACTATTGGTTTCCTTTGTATTACCATTCATTTCAATTAGTTTAGCTTCCATATGTTTCTCTAATTTGTGACTAAACTCAACCAGTTCTGTAAGGTTCCTGATAACCAGTGTTTTGAACCGTGCATCTGAAAGACTGGCTATTTCTTCATCGCTTAGATCTATCGGTTCTGGGGCTCTGAGTTGTCCTAGAGCCATTTTTGGTCTATTCGTGCTGTTAAGTAAGCGGAGCGAAGCCTTAGTTGTTTATCAGGACAGGGGCGACCCTGGTCGCTGGTTTGTGACGCTGTGTGTGGGGGCGTGGTCAGAGAGGGAGCAATGGCGGTCCTCTCCGCTAGCCCAGCCCGTCCAGTCACACCACTCGCCACGGGCTTGTTTATCTGATCGGAATTGTGCGAGCCTGCTGCCCCGCGCCGGCTTCCCTTCTCACTGGTTTCTCCGCACGCAGATGCGCGCGACCAACCGAGACAGCCCGCTGCGCCTCTTCCCTGTGCGCTCCCGCAGCTAGCCCGTGATCGGCCTTCGGCTGCTTGCGCACCGCGCACCCCCCGGGGATTTTTTCTTGCTAACCTGCTCCGCTTCTGGTTTTGCTTCTCTTACCGGTTTAGCTGAGCATTTAGTTGTCTTTGGACTCCGTATTGTCGATTTTCCGTGTGGCTTGGTTGTGATTGTTGTTAAAAATAGTTGTTCTTAGATTTGGTTGTGCACAGAGGCAAGGTGGTTCCTTCACCTACGTCTCCATCTTGGCGGAAGTGATCATTTCCTTTTTTGAAAAGTTTTGTTTGGCCCTGGCTGGTGTAGCTCAGTGGATTGAGCGCGGGCTGTGAACCAAAGGGTCGCTGGTTTGATTCCCAGTCAGGGTACATGCCTGGGTTGCAGGCCAAGTCCCCCCAGTGAGGGTCACATGAGAGGCAACCACACATTGATGTTTCTCTCCTTCTCTTTCTCCCTTCCTTCCTCTCTCTCTAAAAATAAATAAATATAAAACAAACAAAAAAAACAACAAAAAAGTTTTGTTTGAATCTTAGAAAACACAGCCCTTCTGAGAAATAGGCTTTTATACAACATAAGATATTAAATTATTAAACATTAAATACTAAATGAATTCTATTAATTGCTATTAAGCAGTTGTTGGGATAAAAATTAAAAGTGATGGCCGTGGCTGGTATAGCTCAGTGGACTGAGCGCGGGCCTGCGAACCAGACAATTGTGGTTCGATTCCCAGTCAGGGCACATGCCTGGGTTGCAGGCCGGTTTCCAGCAGGGGACGCACGAAACGCAACCATACATTGATGTTTCGCTCCCTCTCTCCTTCCCTTCCACTCTAAACATAAATAAATTTTTTTAAAAAGCGATAGAGTGACTTGGTTGCTACAGAAATTCTGTTGATAATAAAAAAGATGTAGAGGTATGTCCGTACAACCATCATTTTCATTTTGTACTTTCTTGTCCCTTAAAGGGAATGTCAACAGGAATTCATGACTCCCCTTTAGAGAACTAGAAAAGTGTGTCAAATATACTTCAGAAATCATAAATTATGATAAAGGAGTAAAACAATGCCTTTTCCTCTTTTTAAAATCATTATTAAGCCAGTAGTTCAGGTCTTGTATGTGAAATCTTATGTCCATTGAAACAGTCACAATATGTGTGAATTTGAAAACAGAATCTTGACACTTTAGAACTGAAATAGATCTTAGAGATAACGTAGTTCAACCAACAGATGAGAAAACTGGCTAGAAATCTTATTTTAAATGATGAGCCTTAGAGAGACCAGACTATGGATAGGCCATTGACAAGGGCTTTTCAAAAGCCTGAAGCAACCCTGACCAGTGTGGCTCAGTTGAGTGGGCGTTGTCCCACAAAACCAAAGGTCTGGTTCCCAGTCAGAGCACCTCCCTGGATTATGGGTTCGAAGCAACCAGTCGATGTTTCTCTCATGCATCAATGTTTCTCTCCTTCTTCCCTCCCTTTCCGTTTCTCTAAAAATAAATAAAATATTTTTTAAAGAAGCTTGAAGCATTAGAAAAAGTTAAGTGCTTCTATTAAAGAACTTCTATTTAATTAACCAGTTATTAATATCAGTTGCCATTTAGCAAGCAAAGTGTTCGATTATCCCTGGCTATATATGTATTTTAATCTCTGCTTTATATTTAATATAGATAAAGTTTAGTGATGAATTTAGTGCTCTATAACTTACATTCTTCATAAAGTTTTATTTTTCTTTACAAAACATAACTAAGCTATGTCCTGTTCCTGGTCTCTGGTATCAGTGCCAATGATTGACACCCCCCCTGACTCATGCAGCCAGAGCCTAGGTCTCCTGCTCTCTGGCACCAGGTATTCAAATTAGAGTCCTGGGCTTAGGAAAGTGTAACCAGCCTCCTTACTAACATCAAGTTGTCATTCTGCCACAAACTCATATGGGGTGTCAGAAATCCTACCATAGATGGTCACACTTCAGCTGAGCTTACTGTGGTTCCTGCTCAGAAATAGTATAATTACAATTAATGGTGTCCATATAGAATATTCCTTTCTTTTACATCCTTAACGTCTCAGTTCTTCCAGGCGTGGCGGAACCCAGCGTACCAGCATGTGGATCCTAACTGTGGATGTGGAACCTTGTGCTGATGTTTAATTATACCACAGAATAGCCTGACTTCAGAGAACACTTTCATGGGTGCCTTTCATTTCCCAAGAGTTTCCATAGCTCTGGCACATTCTTTATCTTAGCTCTTTTTAAAAAGTAGAGCGTCAAGTCTAAATTTGTTTATTTTGCATGTTTGTTATTTAAAGCATCCATATATGGTAGTGATAACTAATGTCCTTTCTCCGCAGACCATGGACCTGCACTCTTGTCCGAAGCCGATTGTATTTGTGTTGCACACGTTCTTATCGGCCAAAGTCACTCGCATGGGACTGCTTGTATGAGCAGCAAAAAATCAGAAAAGAGCCTTGAATGTCACAAGAAGTATTTCCACCTCCAAGAAAAAAATTTTTTTTAAAGCACAAAAAGAAAGCTCTTTTCTCTATCCTCCAGCACAGTGCCTTGACAAGGACCTGCAAATCACTGCTGACCCACAACCATGTTTAAAGAAGAGCCTGCCTTTCACAAGCTACCGTGGCCAGAATTTCTAGGATTCTGATAAGCTCCAAAATGAAGCTATTGATTTATTGGCTGGTTTCCTAACATGGTTTCTAAGTAATTCTGTTTAATTCTCCTGTTACAAAGGGTGGCTCGTTGTTTTTCTTTCTGGACATAGTCAAATATCTAAGAAGTTGTTTTTCTTCTTTTCTTCCTGTAGGATTTATTTCAAACTTAGCTTTGGATGACTGTCTCTTCCCAGGTGCTAGTTTGCAGCAGCCCGTGCTTCTTGGTCATTCCAGCCAGGCTCTCGTTGTGTTGGCATTTTGGAGTTTATCGTCCTCCCTTGCTCACTCCCTCCACCCCAGGAGGTCCTCAAGTTGTATCACCAAAGCGTTCTCCCATCTGCCCCAGCTCTCACTGCATCCCACGCTGGACCCACTGCATCACAAGCTTCGCCCCTCCTAAGTGCTAACTTTAGGTCTTAGGACTCACAAGATTTGATTTGCCTTGCTTTCCACTCCCTTGTTGGTGGTGACCAAGTTGAAAAGCAAGTTGGAAACCACTGCTTTAAAAAAAAGTTTTACTCATTTGAGGATTTTCTGATTTTCTCTTTGGTAGGAGCCAGGAGATATGGTTAAGATTTATTTTAAAAGAAAAATCCTCATTTTAGCCTAAGCCATTTTTTATTGTTACCAAATGTGCCTTTGGTTAGGGTTAGTGGAGCTTTATTAGTCACTATTTGAATAACTGGATATCACTGCCACTCCAGGGAGATCATCTATCCTAGTTTCAAAGAATAGCCTTTGAGGCAGCTTTCCTTAGTGGTGTCTTTCCTAATGGGCAGATATCTTTGAGGAAGATAAATCCTGGAGAGCAAGCTTGTTTTAAGAGTAGAATTTGTGGGAGAAGTGGGCTTTGCAGCCCAAACAAAATATCAAGTTGTTTTGGGCTCTGTGCACCCATGTGGGATCCTGGCCCTGGCTCTGGCCCTCTCCATTTGTGGCAGCAGAGTGGCATGAACAGGCAGCTAACTCAGGACTGTGTGACTTAGTACTGCGTCCTACAGTGGGCAGTATAACAAGACCATGGAACAGCTGCCTGGGTTTTGCTAAGCAGTAAGATGGCTGACTTTGTGGTACTGGAGAGCACATTTAGCTTGTTATGTCTAATTTTGAAGTAGGTGTGTATCTGAAAACTTTTAAAGTAGTGTAACGGCTATATAAAACATCAAGTAGCACAGTCCCTGGAACTCAGAAAAGTAATATTGACATGGGTGTTCTCTGTGTTTTCTCAAGAAAGGACTGGGTTTAGTTCTCATTTACCAGACCGATCAGGAGTGCCAGAAGAGGATGTGAACACTCTGGAGGATGCAGATATTTGGTTTGAGTGCAGACTGATGTACAGGTGGGACATGTGAAAGAGCCGAATCATGGGCAGAAAGTCCTAGTTAGACATTGTAACCCCATTGTCTTCACTGCTTCCCTGTGTACGGTGAGATTAACCATAGGCAGAGGCTGGGGAGAGATGTCTTTTCTGCCCCCAACATCAGTCCCAAAAAATGAATGATATGATCCACTTAAAACTGGAAATTTAAATCTAGACTAGAATATGTTCTTCAAGAGCTTTCTATGTTTTGAAAATTCATAAACCCCAGTTTGCTTCCATCTGGAGTTAAGTTTACAAATTAGGGAAGATAAAAATACCTTAAAGGTCCTGCTATGATTTCTGGAAGGATTTAGACACATAATACTCTCAGATGAAGGAGCTTAGACATTCTTTGCAGTGAGAGTATTAATCTGAGAAGATGAATCATGTAATCACAGACTTTGGCAGCAAAGCCATTTAGCTGAGGTTTTCTGTGTTAGTGTGAAAGAGCCACCTGCTCAACAGTTACATGAAAAAGGTCTGTAAAAAGGCTGTGACTAAAATGTGGGCAGGAGAGGCAAGGCATGTGTGCATTTCAGACCCTTTTGCTCAAACTTAAACCATCATGTATAGCCCCTAGGTCCATAGGGTTTTTAATACTTAATAGGGTTTTGAGTCATAGTGTGAAATGAAATTGTGTGGGAGGTTTCCTGTGACCACTAGCACCCCCAGGGCAAGAGCCCTTAAGCCTGTTCAGCATACGTCAACAGCTTTCCAGTGATGGGTGACCAGGTTGTTCTTCCATTGAGTGTATTAGTGGGATTTTCGATCCACAGTAGGGATCTGCATGTGAGGAGGGCTGACTGCATCCATTGCTCTGCACCCTTTCTTATAAAGAACGGGGGCCTCCACGGAGTTTGGTGTCCATGGGCAGTCCTGGAACCAATCCCTTGTGGATGCCAAACTGTAGATAAGTTTTGGGGGGCTCAGATGCCAATAAGTGGATTTTTGACTGCATGGGGAGTTGGCACCCCAGTCCCCACGTCCTTCAAGGGTCAAGTTGTACTTTGTATTTAGATGCCAAAATATGGCAAGTTATTTTCAAATGATAACTAATAATTGACATTTTTTGATAGTTCACATCTTTTATAGAACAGCTGACTTTTCATTTCCTTTTTATGTTGAATTAGGAAAATGGCTTAGAATGCTGTGGGCTTCCATGTGTAGAATGTAAAGGAATTGCAGAATAGTGTCCCCCTCATTCCAGTGGACCACTTCCTGTGCCCCCGAGACCAGGCTTAGACATCTTCTCCATATTCCACACAGATGCCTGTAAAAGCAAAGGCTCAGTTACTGCTTTTCTGAAAAAGGTAAGCCCTTTCCTGAAGTCGTCAAATGAACCTTACCTGGAAATTAATATGTAATATTTTATATGAAGAAATACTTTATGTTTATACACTATTTATTAGATATTTGTAACTGTAAACTCACCTACCTAGTAGACAGAGTTTCAGGTTAAAAACTGGGACATGCACAGGTCATCAAAAATACTACTTTAAATGTCATCCACCTATTTTAAAGCCATGCCAGTTAGCACTTTTGGGGCTAGGTAAAGTCTGATCGAGCCTGTTTTTATCATCTGTAATCTCACAGACCTTGATATTGAAAATTACTGCATGGCAGGAGAGACTGAAGTATTTATTTCTTATATTTTTGTTAGTGGAAAAGCCTCTAACCAACAAATGATTAAAGTTGTTACTGATTGTTTTCTTATCCTCCTAAGCAGAAGGGTAACAAAGCTTTTTTTCAGCTGATTAAATGCACTTAGCTAATACACCAAATTTTTTTTTCTTAAGCTGTGTGGAATCTGGATAAGATTACATTTCTCCCAGGAAAACAAGTTTTACTGTAAGTCGTTTTGATGGGCAGAAGTGTGACCATAACTTTGAGGAAAGGTTATGATGGATGCGTGTGTATGCGTGAGAACCTCCAGGTCTCCTTGTTTAATTTATATGCATGTGGATATATTTGTATGTTTTCAAAAACATGGGAGAATCTCCGTATTTTTTTATGCAAATTATCTTGTAAGCTGCTATGCAACTTCTTTTAAAAGCCCTACCTACTTAAAGAATTAAACATTTTTGAAGCTTTCAGGGAAGACCTGTAGACTTAAGCACTTTCTCTGCTTTTTTGTATCTTATCTTGGACACTTAACGCTAAATTATGTTATTGTTTTTACTGGTTATAAGCTATTGATTGTACATAATATTTAAACCATCCAAATATCCAGCATACATTTCCATGTCGCTGCCATTCGCTATTGACACCATGAATGAAATGGCTGGCTAGAAAGCCAAAGGTCGGGTTTTTTCAAACCCTAACAAAAAAGTAAAATGCCAGATCTCTTCGATCTCAAAACATTGTTTGGTCTGATATGACTATCTATGTAGGAAAAGAGACTTGTTTAACTGTGGGATGCTTAAACTTTTCAGTTGAATTTGACTATAGTCATATCCTGTTTATGTATCTTTATCAGGCATATTATGGAGCAGGTGAGACTATATTCTGTCTTGAGTTTAGAAATTTTCATTCACTTGGAATTGTTACAGTGGCTCCTGAAGATGAAAACAAAAGAATCTGCCATCTGCTACAATTCTCTATGTCCCGATTTCAGTTGCTTGGAAATCTAGAATAATTTTGACTTTTTATATACTTTCTTTAAAAACCAACTGCAGCAGTCATCCATCCTCCTTCCTCCTACCTTTTTAAGCCACATCTTTCACTTTGCTGAGTATATAGACACTTGATAAATGTTTGATAATAGTTTAAAATAATTATGCTTTATATCAGGATTCTGTTATCTTGATCAATATAGCTAGCTCTTCCTATGGTGTAATGATATTAAGTGAAATTTATTTTACACTAGTAATAGACTGCTTAAGTGGCTGATTTGAAAGCCTTTCTCTAAAAAAACGAAAACACCTGGCAGATAGGTGATTCGAGTTCATCCTATAAGTGGATCAAATTCCAGGTTAAGGTACAATAAGTGGGCACATACAACACATGTTTCCTTGTCTCCCTCTGACACTAGCTGAACTGCCAACTGGAAGAATTATTGCTGTATATTAACTAGAAAAATATTTTAACAGGATTTCTTCTATTTCAAAACTGATATACTTGAACTTAATCTCTTGCCACTTATTCTTCCTTTCTACTTCAGGTGACTGAACCAAAGCCTATTCTGCTTTTCAAAGTGAATCTATATTTGACAAAATGCATAAAATATGCTATTTGCAAATGACTGCTTATTCTCCAATGAACATTTAGTTATATTCAACAAAAATCTACCATATGAACTGTAACCCTTGAATTGCCCAAAAATAGACTGGTTGGAACTAAAAGGCTATAGTAGGGAAATTATTAATGCTTTGTTATACAGGGGTGGACAAAAGTAGGTTTATAGTTCATATGGAAAATAATTCAATAATCAAAAAATAATAATACAAGAATAAGCTCCATTTTGTGTACTTATAACTATAAACCTACTTTTGCCTATCCCTGACGGTTCAGGTTAGGTGACCTGATAGATTTGACTTCTGAGTCCTCCACATACCTCACTCAATTTTGCAGTAATCATCACCTCCGTGCCATTGACACAAATGCTTCTTTAGTTTTTGCATCCCTCTTTATCCCAGTCACATACACACCCTGACCCTGGGTGTTCTGTCACCTCTTCCAAAGTGATAGAAGTCTTGTATGCACAGACAAAAGGTTCTTTGTAGGCTGGGAGAAATTTTGAAACTGCAGAGTTAATTAACAACACATTAATTTCTATAGTCTTCCATCTGAGACGCATGTACAGTTCTTCACGGGCACTTACTCCGAAGGGTCCAAAAGAAAGTTCCTGACCTCACACTGCACATAACCCATCACTTCTCAATCGCCCCACGCCCCCTGTCAATCCAAGGTTAAGTGAAAAACCACTTCACCAAAGCACGGCAGAAGTTCTGCTCATCTGGCAAACTGCATGGTGTTTGAAAGGACACCCGGTCTTTGGGCCATGCCAGCATGAAAGAATTACAAACACATTTAAGTAGGGTGGTCTTTTTATCATGCATAATTTTTTAAAATGCAAAATGAGGATTTTAGTTTGGGAAGGAGAACACTGTAGAATATCCTTAGGGAGATAAATCACAACAATTTTCTATTGCCCAAAGTGGATCAATGGGAAAGTTTTTAAAGAAATGCTGCTTTTAATGATAATGAGCAAAATGAACTCACCCCTATTTCTAAATTGTGCTGGCCCACTCATTTTCACACTTACACCCTTCAAAGATCTCATCTGCTGTAAGTCCTTACACATGGTAGATGGAGTATTTCTTCTTAATGAGAGATCAAAATGGAGATATTTAAAACTTGGTACAATCCCACTTATTCTAGACACTGGCATTCAAACTCAGTAAAAAGGGCACTTAAAAGAAAATGAGACATTATTTGAATATTTCCATAATTTTTATATAGTAACATCCCTTTCCTGTCCAGCCGCTCTCTTTATCACTTGGGTCAGCCTTTCGGGTAACATCCTTCATCATGCTCAGGAAGGATCTGAACTCTGTGACTGGAATGGCAGAGGGAACATACTCTCATGGGTTCCTTCCCCTTTGTTTTCAAGTGTCCTGGAGTCGTGCACAGGCAAATTCAGTCATGCCTCCAGTGTCCTGCCTCTCCTGCCCTTTGACAATCAGGTGCTAATGATTATATATTATTGGAACCAGCACATGAGTATTGTCATGTAAGTGTCTGTTCCTCCCAGGTTGGAAGAAGCGCTTTTCTCCTGTCTCGGTCCTGCTCAGAGTGGGTGTCAGTTATGTTGTTTTCACCTCTGTTTTGTCAGTTGAGAGAATTGGGGGGAGAGGAAATGATTAAAACTAGGTTTTGGGTTCGGCACAGTTCTCAGTCGTGATGATACTCTTCACAACTTAGAGGAAACCCGCCCTTTACTGTAAGATCCAGATTGATCTTTCCTTTTCCTGCAGGGTAGGACTCCAGTGTTACGTTTACAATCTGTTGGGTGGATTCAGTGTGATAAGACCTTGGTACCCAAAGAATAGTTTCCCTTTTGGTATCAGACCCAAGGTCTTTTAGAAGAAACTACCCTGTGAAGACCTGTTTTGGCTAATCTGTGCAAACTCTGATTATCCTCACTCGTTTGTATTCTGTCCCACACTACTTTCATTTCCGTTAAGTATTGAGACTTAGAAACCTAGAATAATACTGCTACAAAGAATTCAAAGTATGTGATATTCTGAGGGGAATTTTTCTTCTGTTGAGAACCCTGTATTTAAACAAGACTTCATTTTAAGTGTTGTTTAAAATAGAAGTTTCAAACCTGGCATCACCAGACTACCAAATCAACACCGATGGCATAAAACAGGGCAGTGTTTGTGTTCTTGGTTAAAAAAGGAGAAAGCTTTATGTAAGTGTGCTCTAGAAATACAAACGCATAGACAACACTTTCCCTTGAGTTGCACCTCAACGTATAGCATTGTATATTACAATGGAAGTTTGTAACTTAAGGGTATTATTATATATATAAATAAATATATACCTTTGTAATCTTTATACTGTAAATAAAAAAATTGCTTTTAGACTTGTATTTTTTCCATTTCTTTAATGTTAAAATAGTCCCAAACCTACCAGGGAGTCTTAAGAACAGTACAAAGAACCCCTACGTCACCTTTACCCAGTTTCCAGTTGTTAACATTTTACATTTGCTCCATCTTTCTTTTTTTCTTTTCCTGACATGATGCTCTATCAGCTTTAAATTCTCTACTGTGTACTTCCCAAACCCAAGGACACTCTCCTGCGCTGCCAACAGCCGGCCCTCCCAGTTAGGAAACCAACATTGTACAGCGCCACCACCTCATCCACAGACCCCACTCAGATGGTACCCATTGTCCCAGCAATGTTTTCCTTTCTTGCATGAGACCCTCCCTATCCAGTGCCGCATTGTGTTCGGTTTTCATGTCTCATCACTCCCTTCTGGTGCTATTTTTAAGCAGATTCGGGGCAAATCCAAACTCTTATTAAAAACTTAGTTTGGGTTCTCGTTCCATCTGTGTGATGGGAGCTTAATCACTGGATCATCTGAGCTTTATCACACTTTGAGTCACACACAGGAGTAAGAGGGGAGATGGTTTCTCAGGAATCATCAGTGCTCCATTTATTTGAATGTCTTGTCACTCACTTTGTGTGACATCTTAGCATAATTTGCCCTGGCCCTACCTCTCCAAGATGTTACTCACCTAAACCTGTTTTCTTATCACAATGCTCTTGGCCCCCCACCCTAGGTGCTCCTCAACAAACTATTAGGAGCCTGTTTCTTGGCACAAGCCCTAGAATGCTGGAGTCTGTCTGGCCTGGTTTTACTAAGTTGTATTAGCTAAGCAGAGCTGACTCACTGACCTGAGCTTGGGTTAACAAGTGCTACCTTCTCAGCATCAGAATCCAGTCTAGAAAAGTGCTATGCAACAAAGAGCAAATGGAATGACTTCCTACCTAAAGTGTGGGAGCTGAGAGTCTGGTTTCTGTTCTCCTGAGAAAGTTAGAACTTAAACGTACTGATCTGATTCAGAATTATCAAGCCTAAACGTGCCCCAAGTGCCAGCCCACAAATAACTTAAATTTAGTGCCTTTATTCCCCCTTTCCTCCTCCACTTATTCTATCATCCCCACCAACGGCGCTGCCACTGCAGAACTGAGGGTTTTCTCAGTCTGTTTTCAGGATTTCTAAGGAGAAAGTCAACAATGACTAAGTTAGAGGGGAGGAAATCCCACTTCCTGTTGTCAGCAGCAGCAGCAGCACCTCAGGACAACTGTTCCTCTACAAGGAGGCTCGGTGTCTGGAGGGCAGGCTTGTGGAAGACAGAAGCTAAGTGAGACGTGCAAGAAAGTTGTGGAGGCAGAACAAAGAAGACACCCACAGCCAGTGGATGGCGAACCCAGAACTTATTATGGGCTGAATTGTGAGCTGCCAAAATTCATATGTTGAGCCCTACCCCACAGCACCTCAGAATGTGTCTGTTTGGAGATAGAGCCTTTAAAGAGGTGGCTCCATTGAAATGAGTCCATCAGGATGGGCGCTCATTCAATCTGACTGGTGTCCTTATAAGAAGAGGAAAGTTGGACACAGATACCGACCGGGGTGCGCACACCTAGACCAGAGACCCTGAGAGGACACAGCAAAAGTGTGGCCATGTGCAAGCCAGGGAAAGAGGCCTCAAGAAACCAACACTAACACTTTCACCTTGGACTTCTGGTCTCCAGAGCTGGGAGAAAGTACATTTCTATTGTTTAAAGCAACCCTGTTTGTGCTATTTTGTTAAAGCAACCCTAGCAAACTTATATAGCCCTCTTCTAATTGTAGGGATTTTTTAATTTTAATTCCATCTTTCAGCTTACACAGCCCATCTAAGATGTGGGGTTAATATGTTCTCAAGTTCTCTGCCTCACTCTCACCCGCCAGCTGGAGTCCCTCTCTTTTGTTTGCTCACTTATTAATTCTGAATAAGTTGATTATTAATTCTCCCAGCAGATATTAAGTGCCTGTGCCAGGCCCCGCCCCCTCAGTGAGGCAAAGGGACAGTGACTATGCCAGAGGCCAAAACAGCAAACAAAAGCTTCCCCACTCAGCTCTGTCAGTGTCTAAAAAAAAGAGCAGAAAGTTCGGGGTAGAAGCTAAGAAGCCACGACTTGCAGGGTGTGTGCCTCCCCATCTCACCCAGACTCATCAGAGGCCTTGTCCTGCCACTCAGGTCATTATCCCCACTCAGTCCGCAGGGATGCTCAGCACTTGGGCCTTTTGGTTCTTGACCTCCCCATATGCCCCATCATGTCATCTCGCTGTCGTCCTGCTCCCATGGTTACCCTTCGGACTGCATTATTGCTGAAAAAACCATTTCTGAAATCAGTATCTGAAGTATCCCTCTCCAGCGTGCTCTCACTGTGATCTTCCTTCAATCTTTTGGGTCCTCAGTAGAACACCGACTCTTAACTTTCTTCCTATGCACTTCCAACCTTACCTGGCTCCGATTCCACAGTCATCTGGGTGAATCCTGCCATCTCCCTGCATCTAAAGATCTGAGTATTAAGGAGAAAAAGCCAAGGCAAATCGGTACCTCTATACATTTCTAGAGGTTGCCAATCTTCACCAGGTTTGCCATCCGGTTAACTGCTCACTTTTGATTCACTTTAAATTTTAAACCATCTTTACTCTCCTCAAACCCCAGATCTCCCACCTCCTCTCCCTCCCTCTCTTTCTCTCTCTCTCTCTCTCTCTCTTTCTCTCTCTCAGCAGGTTTTCTTTTCTTCCATTCATGAAGAAAATAGAAGCCACCCAAAGGTACTCACCTACCTTCCTGTTACCTTCTGGCCGACAAGGTAAGCATCTATTTACTTCTCCCCTGCTACAATGTCTAATGCTAGTCCTCCTACCCATTCCTATTCCCACTGATCTTTACTAGATCCTTTCTACTGGTTTTTCAAACATGCTGAAATCTTCTCATATTAACATCAATCAAAAACTCCTTTCTGGACCCCATGATTCCTTCAGCTATTGTTCTGGGCCTCCCTTTCTTTTCCCCAATCTTTTTGAGAGTTCTGCCTTCCCCATGGACTGCATGTCCTCTTGACCCACTCACTCTCAACCCTCTGCAGTCCGCCTTCTGCCTCCATCACTTACTGAAACATCTCTGGCTGAGGTCATCAGTATCTTACATATCACTTTCTGCCTTCTCAGCTGCATTAGGTACTGTGTCCCCCTCTCCTTATTCACAGTCCTCCCGCGCCCCTCCCTTGACTTCTGAGACACTCTTCTGGCTCTCCTACCTCTCCAGCTGTCTTTCTGAGCTGCTTTTGTAGGCTCATCCTCCTCTGGTCGGCTAAACAAACCTCCAAGCTTTGTCCTAGGCTCTCTCCTCACCTCACCCTATACTCTACTCTTCCCTAGGAGGTTATTCAAACAGCTTCCATCTCCACCTATACCCAGATGTCTCAGAGATGTGCATCTCCAGCCCTCATCTTTATTCTGACTTCCAGATACACATATCTGACACTTGACATTTCAAAGGCATCTCAAACTCTTCACCCCTCTACCCCTGCCCCAAATCTGGTCTTTGTCCAGTACTCTCCATCTCAGTGGCACCGCCACTGGTCCAGGTGCTAAAGCCAGCAACCCAGGAGTCCCCTCCTGACCCTCACCATACCCCATATCTAATCCACTTCTGAACACTTATGATTTGTGTTCCAAAACTTCCCCCTTCTGTGTATGTCTCTCCAAGTCCCCCTCCCCCCAGTCCAAGCTTCCCTTACTCTTCTGGACCACAGCAATAGCTTCATATAAAATAGCCACCCCATCCCTGCAATCTGTTGTGCATACAAGGGCTAGAGTCATCTATCCAAAAAAAAAAAAAAAAGTTTCTCATTGTTCTTACGATAAAACCCAAAATCTTGACCATAGCCAAATGTCCTGGCCCCTTCCAAACTCCCTGACATCGCTTCATCAGAGGGCAGTAGACTTACTACTTTCTGCTCTCTGGCTATCTGAGCCTTCTTCCAGTTTCTTAAATTTCACCAGTGGCCTCCTTAGGGACTCAGGGCCTTTGCACAGGCTGTTTCATCAACCTGGAATGTTCTGCCCCAGCCCCCTCATCCCTTAATTAATGGGAACCTTTTCTGACCCCCTGTCTTGGATAGTTGGCTGTTAGAAGCCCACATAGCACATGGGTTTTCACACACAGGCTTACTACATAGTTTTTCCTGATGTACATCATCTTTCTCCTTAGACTGCAGGTTCCCCTAGAGCTGTTTGTATCATTGCTGTGTCCCCAGAAACTACACAGAGCTCCACACATAGTCTACATTGACTAAATGTTAAATGAATGAATGTGAACAGCCAACCTGCTACACTGAAGTTCACTGGAATAAACCCCCTAGCTATAAAGGTTTAAGGAAACCACTTTTTTCGAAAGAGGAAAGTAGAAGCGTTAATATGAAAAACAACAAAAACTACCTCCAACCAAAAAATACCTTTAGACAGAGCCATGAGCATTATAAATTACCAGGCACTGAACCCAGTGGAGAGTATGTGTTTACATTAGCTAGCTCACTCATTACCCTCAAAAGCCAGAAAAGGTAGCTACTGATTATTAGTACACCCATTAAACATCAGAAACACAGAGCTCAGGGAACTAACGTTTACTGTGCCAAGAAAGCTGCCCTACAGGGGCTGTTTCATTCGAAGTGGAGTCTGGGACTGGACGTTCTACCCAGCCCTGCCTATGGCTTCGCCCCCTCATCCCGTTCGGCCCCCCCGGCCCCCCCTAACTCTCCCGGAGCTCGCGGCCCAGTACCGCCCACCCGGACACGCCCCGCCGAGTCCCAGCCTGGGCCGCAGAGAGCGGTGCCTGCAGTGCTGGCCGTGACCGCTGGGGGCAGCCGCGCTGCTCAGGCCCGACCGCTCTGGGCAGCTTTCCTCTCTGGTTCTCGGACGCCGCTCCGGCTGCCAGCAGCCGCCCTTCCCCGCGTCGGACCTAGTACCTCGGCGCTCCGAGGCCGGACCGAGGCCGCAAGCAGC